ATGCTGCTTAGAGTCCAGCTGCATTCCTACAGTGCCTATTCATCAGATGCTTCCAGAAAACCTTGGTCATATGGTTTGGCTCTGCATCCCCACACAAATCTCATGTTGAATTTATTTATTTATTTATTTATTTATTTATTTATTTATTTATTTATGAGATGAAGTTTTGCTCTTGTTGCCCAGGCTGGAGTGCAATGGGGTGATCTCGGGTTAACGCAACCTCCGCCTCTGGGTTCAAGCTATTCCCCTGCCTCAGCCTCCGGAGTCTCTGGGATTACAGGCATGCGCCTATTTTTAGTAGAGACAGGGTTTCTCCATGTTGGTCAGGCTGGTCTCAAACTGGCAATCTCAGGTGATCTGCCCACTTTGGCCTCCCACAAGTGCTGGGATTACAGGCGTGAGCCACCTGCGCCCGGCCTGAGTTTTAATTCTAATGTTGAGGGTGGGACCCGGTGGGAGGTGATTAGATCATGGGGTCGGCTTTCCCCCTTGCTGTTCTCCTGATAGTGAGTTCTCACGAGATCTGTTGATTTAAAAATGTGTGTCACTTCCTGCTTTGTGCTCTCTCCTGATCCCTCCTGCCTCAAGTGAGGACTTGCTCGATCCCCAGTCGCCTTTCACCTTGATATAAATTTCCTGAGGTTTCCCAGCCTTGCTTCAAGTACAGCCTGCGGAACTGTGAGTCAATTAAACCTTTTATTCATAAATTAACCAGTCTCAGGTGATTCTTTATTTTTATTTTTATTTTTTTGAGATGGAGTCTCACTCTTGATGCCCAGGCTGGACTGCAGTGGCATGATCTTGGCTCACTGCAACCTCTGCCTCCCGAGTTCAAGCGATTCTCCTGCCTCAGCCTCCTGAGTAGCTGGGATTACCACACCCCACTACAGGTGGTTCTTTAGAGCGGTGCAAGAATGGAGCAATACACTTGGTAAGGATCATGCAGGCTGAGCAGGGAGGTCCAGAGGAGGGCGGCTTGCCCCTGGCCGCAGTCTGGCTCAGGCGAATCTGAATCACCTGCTGGAAACATTTCTATTGCAGTGGGCCTCGAGGGGGCAAGAAGTGATGGAGTTGGGAAGAGGAGAAAAAGTGGGGAAAGAGGGGAAATGGAGGGATGAAGTACAGAGGAGGCCAGGATGGTGCAGGGCAGGGTAGGTCTGGCAGAGGGGAGGGAAAGCGTAGGGATGCGACAAGGAGTTTCTAATTAAAATGCTCTGGCAGATTAATGTAATCTGATTAAATTCCCCTGTGGGTCTTCAAAAACGATTTATTTTTATCTCTCTTTTTTTTTTTCTTTTTAAGAGACTAGGTTGGTTGGGCGGGGTGGCTTACATCTGTAATCCCAGCACTTTGGGAGACTGAGGCAGGTGGATCACCTCAGGTCAGGAATTTGAGACCAGCCTGGCCA